TAAATGATGATTAGCTTATTTATTTATATATATATGTATAAAACCCGATCGACTATTCGGGGGGTTAATTATATACCCATAGAAAAGTTAATTAAAATTTAACATTGCTTACCGAGTTAAATGTATCACACACAAACATTTCTATGCAAGAACATGTGTAGGTACACTGATTGAATGCTCAATATTGTATATGTTAATTGTAATTAGGAAGTAATTAATGCAATTTTGATAGGTATACCCCAAGTAAATGTACTAGGTCCTATTTTTTTGTTCGAACCAATACGAAGTAATGAAACATTTTTTTTTTCTTAAGATTCTTTTCTTTGTACAATGAAACTATGGATGTATTTATACCCCAAGGAAATGTACTTGGTCCTAAATAATATTCTATTTCAAAATTTTGTTGAATTATGTATGTAAAATCTCAATTATTTAACATTATTTCTTGAGAATTTGCATTTTTTTAGTGTTAAACTTAATTGGTTAATTTTGAAAGTTGTACCCCAAGGAAATGCACTTGGTCTTATTTTTTTTTTGTAAAATTTTAAATTTCTTTGTATGTTTACATTTTGGTTTATACACATAATTAATGAATTTATTCTAATTCAATAGGAAATTTCCGTCTGTATACTAAATTAATTAAAACTGTGTATGTATGGAGGGAACATTGATTTAATAACTGGGGAGGTAAAAGTAATTTGATTTTAGTGGATTTATGCTTCCTTTTTAACGGTGGGCGGTTTTTATTTATTTATTGCGTTTTTCCTGTGCACGAAATAAAAGAAAGAAAGAAACGAGAAGCGATTAATTATCCGGGCTGTGCGGACAAAAGGTACAAAGTGGAATGATTTGCGTGCCAAGCGCGACTGTAGGAAGGGAAAAAAAAAAAGAGGAAAGTCAATTTGTCTTAAATTCAGTGTATCGAAAATAATAAACAACTGTGTCTGCTGCTGCTGCTCGTCGACTTTCTGCGGACAGAAACGAATTCGAGAAGCAGAACAATCATTATACTATTAGAACAAGTAACGGCGGAGGCGTTCATTAATTGCTTGAACAAAATTAACGCCAACTATTGTTAGTTTGTTGCTGCTTCGTCGTCACGAGTTTGCTGGAAAAAGGAAAACGTGAATTATGTCTAATAAACATTCGTTGTTGGTGATGATGTGTCTGCAAAGGACACAAATGTTTCATAATTATTTATTATAATTTATTTCAATTATTTTTTTTTGTCTACAACTAAAGTAATTAGACAAATTAGAACATTTCTTATATATTTTTTCATTGAATTTCACACACACAAGGCAAATATCTGAATGATATCAGTGTTTGCTTTTTATTATTATGGATGAAACTAATGGAAGTTTGTAGCATGTTTCATGAAATACTATACTTGGGCCATTAATTTGATTGAAAAAAAAATAATCTGAAAAATTGGATGAAATCAGTCGTTCCACTATGTATGAGTTTAGTCTACACTAGAAACGTATTAAATTCTTATAGGGAGGATTCAAATTTCAAATAGATTGTATCTTCGCGCGAATTCGTTGATTTTTACCCTCATGTTATCGATCAAACTAATGGAAGTTGTAACAAACATCGCAATGTTTATACTGTAATATGCACGGACCATTAAAGTAATTGAAAAAAAAAGAGTATTGATTGGAAAAACATTTTCATTGCAGATTACGTTCGACGTACCCCAAGGTACGATGCTCGGTCCAATTGCATCAAATTACCTAATTTATCATCTTTTTTAATCGATTTTATCACATAAGTCTATTTAACTAGAAAAACGAGCTTAAGTTATTGATTATGTTGGGAGTACCACAAGCTACGATACTTGGTCCAATCGCATCAAATTACCTAATTTATCATCTTTTTTAATCGATTTTATCACATAAGTCTGAGAAAACGAGCTAAACTTATTGATTATATTGGGTGTACCACAAGTTACGATACTTGGTCCAATTGCATCAATTTTTTTTATAAATTCTGTTAAAATGTGTGTACATTTCCAAGGTTTTTTTTCTAACTGAAAATATAGTAAATGGTCTGAAAGTTTGCACATTTTATTTTCATACTGCTGTAAAAATAATTATTATTGTTTATTTGTTTGCCTTTGTGTCCCGAAGGGACAATTGCTGGCTAAAAACAATAGAGGAATCGCAAATATTATTCGATTGTTTTGATATTTTTATTATTATTATTATTATCATCATCGTCGTCATGGTGATTTTTTATTTGCAGTTGTCAAATTGACGGAACGTTGTTGTTGTTGTTGCCGTCGTTATTTATTTGTTGTTATTTATTTTGCGTTTTAAATGCGAAATGGATGCCTTTATAATTGGAATATTTATTTTACGTAACAAATGAGTGAATTGCTGGACATAACAAAAAAAAAGAGAGACGAGAGAAGTGAATAAAATAAAACGCGATCGAAAGTGGGGTGGAACAAAAAATAAATAAATAAATAAATAGCAGGCTTTGTTAACGTTTATGTAATAGGCAATATGTAAAGCATTTTTTTACTCCTGCTTCCTCCTCTTCTTGTTTTCTCTCTCTCTCCTTTTGGCACACGCCGAGGGTGTTCAATTTTTTTTTTGTGATTAATCACTTCCGGTCGATCAAATAATTTACTCGCCCCCTTGGGGAGCGCTCAAAATCCCGCAAACATCGTTTTATTTTTTCTTTCGGACATTAATTAAGATCGATACGGTTACGTAATCATTTTGTACTGAAACTCTCTCTTTCTGCGCGTTCTGTCCTCTCTACCAGCGAGAAAGGAGGTGCGGAAAAACGGGCCTCAATTAATAGGCGACATTTTACGCTCATTACTCATCCGGATTTTGATCGAGCGATTTAGTTTACTTAATTTGATTTCCGTCTCCTCTCCCCTCGTTGAATCCCGCTTCTAAAACCCCCCTCCCCCCAATGCGACTGCGGTAATTTCATGTGACAGATTATAATAGGCTTAATCGAGTTATTCAATTGATTTATGTTACGTTTTATCTCGGGATAAAAGATTAACCTATTAGATTTAAGTAAGTTAAATTGTTTCCTTTTCACTTTTAATTGATGATCTTAAATTTTTTTTTGGAGATACTTGTCAAGTATCAAGTTTGTATACAGCATCTTCTCTCCGTGATTATAGAAACTTGTAAAAATTTCTTAAGTTTTTGTTACAAGATGTTTCATTAAGACTATGAGATACTTATCAAGAAGTTTGTCAAGTATTGCGTATGTATACAAGAGTCTCTTTGTTAATGTACAAGCTTATACAAATGACTAAAGTTGGTGTTACAAGATGTTTCGTATCAGAATTGGTGATCTTAAATATTTGATTAAATTGTCAAGTAGTTTGTCAAGTATTATGTATATATGCAAGAATATCTCTTTGTTAATGTAAAAGCTTATAGAAATGATTAAAGTTTGTGTTATAAGATGTTTCATATAGGAATTGGTGATCTTAAATATTTGATTTAATTGTCAAGTAGTTTGTCAAGTATTATGTATATAAGCAAGAATATCTCTTTGTGAATGTAAAAGCTTATACAAATGATTTAAGTTTGTGTTACAAGATGTTTCATTAAGACTATGAGATACTTATCAAGTAGTTTGTCAAGTATTGCGTATGTATACAAGAGTCTCTTTGTTACTGTACAAGCTTATACAAATGACTAAAGTTGTCGTTATAAGATGTTTCATATCGTAATTGGTGATCTTAAATATTTGATTAAATTGTCAAGTAGTTTGTCAAGTATTATGTATATAAGCAAGAATATCTCTTTGTTAATGTAAAAGTTTATACAAATGATTTAAATTTGTGTTACAAGATGTTTCATTAAGACTATGAGATACTTATCAAGTAGTTTGTCGAGTATTGCGTATGTATACAAGAGTCTCTCTTTGTTACTGTACAAGCTTATATAAATGACTAAAGTTGGCATTACAAGATGTTTCATATCGGAATTGGTGATCTTAAATATTTGATTTAATTTTCAAGTAGTTTGTCAAGTATTATGTATATATGCAAGAATATCTCTTTTTTAATGTAAAAGCTTATACAAATGATTTAAATTTGTATTAGAAGATGTTTCTTGATCGATCTTAAATATTTGATTTACTTGCCAAGTAGTTTGTCAAGTATTACGTATATATACAAGAGCATCTCTTTGTTAATGTAAAAGCTTATACAAATGATTTAAGTTTGTGTTACAAGATGTTTCATGGCTGAGTTGGTGATCGATCTTAAATATTTGATTTAATTGCCAAGTAGTTTGTCAAGTATTATGTATATATACAAGAGTACGTCTTTGTTAATGTAAAAGCTTATACAAGTGACTTAAGATTGTTTTGAAAGATGTTTAATTTCGGAATTTGTGATCTTGAGATACTTGTCAAGTATTTTGTCAAGTAAATTTTCGCTATGCTATGATCAATTGTTATAAAATGTGCATGTTTCTTATAGTTTGTGTTAAAATGAAAACATTAATGCAAATTACTATAAAAGTAGACATGATTCTTTGCGCGATTTTTTTATGTCGGATGTTGGAAGGTGGCGTCGACTTAATAGGAAGTGGCTTTCCGCTTATAAGAAGTATTTAATAACGTGTAAGTGTTCACAGAACCAGAAGCCAATATAGAATGAAAAAATTATGAACGAGTTAGAGAGAAAGAGAGTGAGGAATAATGAAAAAAATAAATAATAGAGGAATATGTAAAGAGGTGGAATGGATTGTTTGAACGGTGAAATTTTGCAAAGTGCACCGGCACAAATTGAACGGGCAGCGACCGTTGCTTCTGACCTCCTTCCTTCGGCCGCGACGGAATTATCATTGAAATTATTCTAAACTATTCCATAATTATATAACAATAATTATTCCACATCCGTAGCGCCACCGCAAATTTAATCGATTGCACTCGTAATTTGGTCACGTTGAAAGTTGTATTTCTAATAGATTATTGTATGTTATCTTTTGCAGATCCTTCGACGTCCTGAGGAGAAGTTCTGGAGGCGAGAGTCGAAGCTGGGCTGCAATGTGCACCGAGCGCCGCAGCCCAATCGCATACATTCCACTTGAACAATCGAGAAAGACCTAATGCGGGTCAACGATCCCCGATCACCTCGAAGCTTCTAGCAAAGAAATACAGCAAACGCAGCTCATCCCTAAGTCCGCAGCGCATCCAAAACTTTGACCTTGAGCAAGACCCAAACCCGCCCCCAAACCCATCCTTCCTCGCTAAGCTTAAGACGAAACTAACCGACAAGAAGGTGCAATTCGCAGAAGAGGCGAATTGCAACAAGAAACCGCAAGTTTTCTACAGCAGTCTCTCCGAGGGTTCTCCGAGCAGCTCGGCGAAGAGCATCACGAAAACTGTGACCACAACAGTTCTTCCAAGCCAAACCAACAAAGTCATCTTAAGCAAAACGAAAACCGTCGACGTTGTTGTAGCTCCATCAGAGCAAACACCTCACCTGGATTTGAGTCCTAAAGCGCCGAAGCGCAAGAAGAAAGGGATTCTGAAGAGTCTAGAAGACGATCCCGTAGCTGAGGAGTTTTACCGCAGGAAATCTATCAACTACAACAACTTGGTTCCTCTGATCCCGTTTAAAGCCAAAGAGGGAGTGCTTCGCGGTTTTAAGAACGCTTTCAAATCTCGGAAAATCTCCGGTGATCATCATCACCACGAGAGATCTCCAAGTCCCATCAGGAAGTTTTCGATACCGTCTTTGGAAGTGCAAGAGTGCACTCCGTTATCTTCGAGGAGATCGACGCCGGAGCCATCACCAAAACCGGCGAGGAAATTTTCCTTTTCAAATCTAACATCAACGCCGGAACCATCTCCAAAACCCGCAAGGAAACTATCATCCGGTAACCTAACGGTAAATAAACCGGAAGCTTCGCCGAAACCCGCAAGGAAATTATCGTTTTCCAATTTATTCGACGCGAAACCCGCAGAGGAAAGGTCCAAATCGCCGGGAGCTTTCAGACGATTATCGCAAGGGTTTTTGGATAAATCTCCGAAATCAATAAGGAAGTTGTCTCCGTTCAAGCAGTACCAGAGCGTCGACGACGAGCGCACCAAATCCAGCGATCACTTGGATAAAATCCCACCGCATCAGTTGACTCGCAAGCTATCGCAAGGTAACCTAACCAAAGAGAAGAGCTTCAACTTCGAGAGTTCCTACAGCCAAAGAGCTCCGCGCAAGGAGTTGATCACTAAAACCATCGGAGAGTATTTCCACGCTCCGGTTAGTAAAAAGGATAAATTTTCGCCTCCGCCCGAGTCTGTAGTTTTGAGGAAACCGGTGACTGAAGATCCACCAGCGATGGGTCTGAATCTGAGGAGATCGTTGTCGTCTCTGTGCGGCGGCGGCTCAGGTTTACGCGTGAAAGAGAGATGCGTCTTCGGCGCTTGCATCATCGTCGTCCTCTTCACGCTGATGCTCGTCTTGGATCTGCAGATGGATCTGGGCATGAGCGGAAGGCATCTGGCGCCGTCCCACGCGAAGATCAAGTACAATACGGGGGAGGATGGACCTGGCGCCACCTACAACAGCTTCCGCAAGAGATTCCTGCAGAAGACGCACAGGTAATAATAACAATCGTTGCGTAATCGAAACGTGAGCACGAGCGAGCGAGCGCGTGCCGAGCATTCCTTATTATCGTCGATAAATTTAAACGCGCGTTGTTCTCTAATGGTCTTTATTACAAGTATTATTATCATAGTATTTCCTTTCACATCTTCCGTAGACCTTCTGCACTAAAACATATCGATTGATGGAAATCCTGCAATAATTATCGGCGAAGCAACAATAGTCTTTTGATTCTTGGTCATTACTTTAATGGAAAGTAATAGCTATACAATCACGTCGATTTCCTCCACTCTATATTACATATATATATGAGCTTGATCCAGTAAAATCATTAAATGTTTACAACAACAGTTGCAAATGCTTATTCGAATTACAACTAATTAATTTCAATTGATCTAATGAATCGAGCTTTGTTTACATTTACAAAATTGCAATTTTGTATTAAGCATATACAAACGCAGCCAGAACATTGTTTATGCTTATAATACCAGACAGATACTAGTAAACATTAAACCCAACTATAATGTTCGAAACACAACTCGTGAACGGAAGCAATGAACATCAATAAACATATCAAAACGGAAATTGTCGCGTTTCAAAGCAAATCAAAGGCAAAAGCAGTTCGGATCGGATTCCCGGTATCCGGTACAAAAAAACAACTTTCATTCGAATCAAAGTATGAATTTATGCAAAAACATAAATAAATAGAAGAAGTCGTATCGCATTTCCTTGGGAGCACTTGCATAATAGCCTTGTGTACTTTCCACGCTAATTAGAGTGATTATGCAGAGCAAAGGGGGATTATGAATATGAGAATGTGCGGTGTAGTGTGTAGAGTCTATAGAGGTGGATGCACTTTTCTCTACTGTTTCTTCTCTCTTTTACTCTCTGTGTGTTTCTCGCTTGTCCACTTTAGTCGTGAAAATAGAAAGTGCAAGTGTATTTAAAAATGAAAGAAAAATTGCGTATCGATTGTGTCTGGGCTCTGAAAAGAGGAAGAATGTAAACGTGGGGATGACAGCGGTTGATAGAGAGAAAAACAAGTGCGTGAGACAGGAAGACGCGATAAAGATAACGCGAAAATATTGCTCTAATTAGCAAAAACGTGTAGTGGGAATTTCTTTTTAAAGAGACTTAATTAATTGAACAGTTAAGTTATTTTGATCTGATATTTTGCATGCAACAAAGTTAAGCAATTCGTGATTTGAATAGGTGATAGTAACTTGATAACTTGGAATATACAAAATGGATTGTTTCTTAGTCGATTTGTCTAATAACATTCTTTGAACTTTGAACAAATTCAAGTAAATTTATTAAATTATTGCGAATGAAACGATTACTTCAATTATTTAAAATTGTAATATTATGTTTTTTTGCTATTACTACAAACATGTCTTTAGATAAATGTATACAAAGACTCATTAAATAATTATTTGCTAATCATTGATTACTACAAACAATTATTTAAATTTTCTAATTAATACTACACACATTACTCAAGTTTCAAATTAATGTTTTCTAATAATGAAGACGAACAACGAAGCAAATTTATCGTTCCAATCAGGATGTAAATAAATACTTTTTCTGCGCTCTGGAAAGTATTGGAAACATGTGCGTGAGACAGAAAAACGCGATAAAGATAACGCGAAAATATTGGTTTAATTAGAACGAACTTGTAGTGTAAATTTCTTTTTAAAGAGACTTAATTAATTGAAAAGTCAAGTTATTTTTATCTGATATTTTGCGTGCAATAAAGTTAAGCAATTCGTGCTTTGAATTGGTGATAGTAACTTGATAACTTGGAATATATAAAATGGAATGTTTCTTACTTGATTTGATTTCTTAACTTTGAACAAATTCAAGTAAATTTATATAAATTTTCATTAATTCTTAACTTTAGACAAATTCATACAAATCTCATTAGAACATTATGAATGAAACATAAATGATTGTAATATTATGTTTTTTTTACTATTACTATAAACATGTTTATAGATAAATGTATACAAAGATTCATTAAGTAATTATAAATGATTATTTGCTAATAATTGATTACTACAAACAATTATTTAAATTTTCTAATTAATACTACACACATTACTCAAGTTTCAAATTAAAGTTTTCTAATAATATGAAGACGAACAACGAAGCAAATTTATCGTTCCAATCAGGATGTAAATAAATACTTCTTCTGCGCTCTGGAAAGTATTGAAAACAAGTGCGTGAGACAGAAAAACGCGATAAAGATAACGCGAAAATATTGGTTTAATTAGAACGA